ATGCATTGTGATACCATTGTAGTATCACCGGAGGACGGTGGCCGGAAAGAGAAGAGAGGAGGGAGGAGAGTTTTAAAATACCAAAAATATCCTTGCATTAATATTTTAATTCAAAATTGTCAAAATTATAAATTTCCTAATTTATCTATTGATTTGTAGTTAAAATTGGTTCTCACAATTACCACAAACTAATTAGTTCTCATTTGATTAGGCCCCCATATATATATATATATATATATATATATATATATAAAGAGAGAGAGAGATAAATGATCAAATGCAAACCACCCCTTTTGTGCAAAACCTACAAACCAATCTCATCCATCTATTTTCTTGATCAATGATCATGATTAAAATGTGTTATATTAGAAAAGAAAAAAATAAGATAAAAAGTTTAATATTTAATCAAGAAAGGGCGAAGTTGGCAAACCATTTTAACTTTCAGCCATATTATATTAGGAAAACAAATTATTGTTTCATTGACTTTCCTTCCATTGATATATTTGACATATCATGTTCCTAAAAAACATCTTTTTACAGACAACTTGACAAAATATATTATTTAGTACTGGACTGGTTAATGAAACAGATTGACGCAATCTGAAACCTGTTTCATACCAATCCAAAACTTGTTTAATACCAGTCTGATTCATGATGAGAATACATCAACAGTGAAATTAGTTTCATTGTTCGTTTGTATAATGAAATTTGAGCCAAATATGGTTTAGTCAATAAAACATTTTCCAAAAATATGAATAACATGTTTTCGTTAATGAAATTCGTTTCATCATTGAAATTCGTTTCATCATTGAAATTCGTTTCATGGACTCCACAATTCCAAAAACTGAATGACATTGTTTTAGTAGTGAAAATTGTTGAAATGTTTCCTAACCAAAATGGAATCGGTTTCATGGTTTCTAACCAAGATGAACTCGGTTTTACATATGAAACTAAATATTGTTTAGTCAATGAAACATTTCAAGAACTGAATAATAATACTTCATTCATTTTTAAATTTGTTCCATATTTCTAACCAAAATGGAATCGGTTTCATTATTTATAGCCAAGATAAAATTGGTTTTATTAATGAAACCAAATATGGTCCAGTCAATGAAATATTTCAAGAACTGAATACTATTATTATCATTAATGAAAGTAGTTTCATGGTTCCTAACCAAAATGAAATTAGTTTTATTTTTTAAACTGTATAACATGGTTTTTTTTATAATATTTGTTTTACGAATGAAAACAAAATAATATACTCAAAATCTAGAAAACATCACAACTATTTTATTAATAAATCAGTAACTACTTGTGATTTCATAAAAAATAAATTTTTACAAATAGACTTTGTAATCGATGTTGTATTTTTAAATTAATAAAAAAATATAAAATATTAATGGTAATAATTATATGTTAAAATAAATTGATTTATAGTTTTCTTAAAAACAATTACTATATTTAGTTTTTCATATTTAAAACAATTAAAACATTACCAAAATTAACCGTTATAAAATAAAATGACATTCATACCCTTATTCATTAAAAATAAAAATAAAAACATGAAATTATTCTATTGGTTGATGGTGGTTTTTATAGTTTGCATGAAATAGGCGGTTTGTAATCTAACCTCATCCTCTCTCTCTATATATATAGATTGAGTGAGATGTACTTTATAAAAATTTAGGAAAAAGAAATTGTTTTAGATACAAATCGATTTAGAATTAAGCCTTAAAAATACTTATGGGGTGAGAGAGGCTCGAACTCTCGACCTCAGGATAACTCAAGAAACGCTATGAGACCTACGCGCTAGCCAACTGCGCCACCACCCCTTTTGATATCATTTTCAACCTTAAACGTATTTAAAAACTTCTTCTGTTCTCCTTTTTTCCCATTTACTATCTATGCCTACGTACGATCACTTGCATTTCAAAAACCTAACAGATTTCTCTCTTTTTGGCTGTCCCTCCCAGCAGCTGCTGTATGCTTGGATCAATGGCAGAATCCGGTTACGCAAAATCTCTATCGGAGGTACACTCGCTATACCTGTCTCTCTGTCTCTTCGTCTTCTTTCATAAGCATCTATTTCAATTTGTGTACGTCATGTGTGTCTGAATGGGATCAAAGTTTGTTGATTTTTCATTCGACATCTTTATGTATAAATCCCAATTTAAGGCCACAGAGTTATATGGCATCGTATTTTAATTAGTTTTAGTATACTTTTTGGTTAGTGCATTTCCTACGTAGCTCTTTCTCAGAAATATCGTTGGTCTACTATGTACTTGATGTGTTTTGATTTTGATTGAGAGTATATCATGGAAAGCTTTATGTTATGTTTTTAAGGTAAAGAAAATATGTATAGGAATTCTTACTTTGGGTTGGGTACCGGTGAAAAGGAAAGTTACGATGAGAAGCATGACGAGGTGTACCAAGATGCACCAGATCAATGCCCTTTTAAAGCGTAATTCATGGGTGGGCATAAGATCAATAGTGATCAAGGGTTCTCTTCTTACGCTTCTCACACGATCCTTCACCTTCTTACTTTATGGTATTTCTTCACAAAAAATCCATCCTATATATATATCTATATATATACTCATTCTAAGTTTATTTTCATGCAGCATTATCTTCTTAAGGAGAATGTTGAAGACAAGTTTTCTAAACCTAGTGATAAGGATCCTGTAAAAGAGGCATCTATCACTTCTAATCAAGAAACCAGTGACCAAGAAAACACACCCTCCATCAAGGTAAGCTTGGTAGTTGATAATTTTGCTTTTCTACTAATTAGGATTGGATGAATAATTAAGGGGCTGTTTGGCAGTTGATGAATATTGAATGGTTTGTTGCAGAATGATTAAGTGGTTAGAATGACTAAGAGACTTTCATGATATAGTGCAAAATGAAATATAATTGTTTGGTAATTGTTTACAATGAAATTAGTGTGCTTAATGGTTAAGAGAGGCCCATGATACAAAATCATTCAGAGGGTTTTATAACCATTAAGAGGCAGACTTTTTTTTACCAAACAAGATTCACCTCTTAATGATTCAGATGTTGCCTCTTAATGGAACTGTTAAGAGGTAAACAAACACCCCCTAAGCTTCTAGTAGACTTGGTCTCACAAAAGGAGTCCAAAGAAGTAAAAGAAACCCATTCAACACTGTTTTCTGGATGTTTCCCCATGCTCTCTTTTGAAACCAGATGACCCAGTTACAATCTAACGTGGAAATTGATTACGGTTTGAATTAAATAAAAATGTTCTTTGAATTTTTACAACACCACTCCCAAGCAGCTTTGTGATGTAGAATAGCGACCACGACAAGTCTCGTGTAATCTGTAACGTATGCAACTTGAAATGCCGTCTTGTTTGTAGAACAAAAGTGCTGTCTTGTTTGATATGATTATTTTGGAAACAGCTGGAGACAGCACCAGGAGATTATCGATTCCCAACTACAAATCAAAGCAGGCACTGCTTTACACGATATGTTGAGTACCACCGGTGAGTCTTGATCCACCTGTTAAGCCTAGTTGTTTGTTCAAAACCATCCACAACACTATAGGGATCCTTTCAATTGTACCATCTGTCTTTTCTTCTTTTGGTGAAGTAATAGATCCCATAATTGCATATTATACTTGCATTAGAACCCACAGATGGAAATGCTTTTTTTGTTTCTTCGATTTCCTACAAATTATAATGTTCACCTTAACTTTTGTCCATGACTCGCGGTTAATCTTGATTCATCATCGTTACATCAGGTGCGTTGCAGCTAAGGGAGAAGGTGCTCCTGATTGTGATAAGTTTGCAAAATACTACCGGTCACTTTGCCCAGGCGAATGGGTATGTACCCTTTTGACCATGAAAACGATACACACACATACATGTATGCATAGGGTATTGTACAAATGTATATAATCCTATTCTCGTTGAAATTGCAATGCTCGACTCAACGCACACAAGTGTTATTTGATACATTCAATCTGATGTTATATTTGTTTGCTTTAACTAAACATGCAGATAGACAGATGGAATGAGCAAAGGGAGAATGGGACATTTCCGGGTCCTCTTTAGAACAAATGAAATGGTTGGTATGCAACTCAAGAGTTAATAAGAACTTTCATGTCATGTAGGTGTATGTTCTAATCTTTAATTGTTTGGTGACATTAAGAAAACCACCAATATCATCATATGTTTGGACATGATATCCTTAATAAAGGGATTGATTACTAGTGGTTTTTTTATGCCATCTTTTATGAGTTGTATGCCATGGATGACACATACACCACATTACATGTTAAATCAACATCTCTACTGTAAAACATTAAAGGCTTAACCTTGTGGACTGAGTTCACCTGCAGGACGCCATGACCACAAAGCCGCCATAGAAGGCATCCCAACTAATGTGCCCATCAATTGGGTGATGTTGAAAACCAATAAAATTAAACATGTGCTACTACCCGGATGACTTTCATAAAACGTGAAGTTTCAATATACTTCATAAAACTCAAAACTATTTCAAATATGAGAATCAATAGACTAAACTCAATTGTTAAAAATAAAGGTTCAATGATTTATTCATATAAGTACATATTTTGTTGGCCACTTTTAAGTGATCAATCACCAGACAATGAACCACCGCTACGAAGGGTTAACTACAACAATTAGTTTCCCGAGAGTGAAAGAAAGTGAAATATGTACCTTAGGCGAAATACAAAAGCAAAGCACGATCTAACGGGATTCACGATAAGGTTCAACTTGCTCACATGCCTATCGAATGTGTAATTCGATTATTACTTAAACGACGTAAAACCATATCCTAATTCTATTAACAAGTTAGTTAGTTCCTACATGTTTATAAACAACTTAAACTTTAAATAGGACAGCCGGATATGCATTAAGAACTCAAACACAAAAATTAGCTTTATATAGTTCTGTTCTCGACTTTTAACAGCTTCTATCCCTTATTTTTTAGAGCATTTTTACCCCCACTTAGAGGTCAATAAAAAAGATAGTATAGTATATGATGAATCTACTAGTTTTGGAATCACCTCATTTAGATAATCCATCTATTTTATACGAATTTTACAAAACAACAGATTAATCCCGAAATACAGTGCAAACAACCCCGAAAACACACTGTTTTGACTTTCGAGCCACTCAGATTCATAAATGGCTTTTCGACCATTCATGAAAATTGTATCATACAATAAGGGATTTTTAACTGCAAAATACTAGCTTATTCCGACTTACAGTTTGTGAATTATACACTGTCGATAAAATCCGATTTTACAATTTCCCAACTAACTTTTATGATCCAAATTCCATGTTTTGATACATTTACATGCTCTAAACATACTTTTACATACAAAATACTAAAACAAAACTCAATGGTCATTATCCTAAGTTTAATCATGCAATTTTACTCTTTTAGGCATTTAATCGAACAATTGTTATACGGTTAAACATATACACACAACCTAACTATATTCAAACCATAATCTACCCTTTTAATCTCTACATCAACTATAACTAATACAAGCATTATAAATCATATATTTAATCATTTATTCAACAACAACAATTCATAACTTAAACATAAACACAATTATAAACTAATCTCAATAACTCCAACATAAACACCCTAATAAAAACGGATAAAACTTATACCTTTAGGAAGAGTTTGAAGAGTGGATTTCGAATTCGTAATCGTTACTTCAGTTCCTTCAATAGTTTGAGAGAAATTATAGAGAGAAGGAAGAGTTTAGAGAGTGAGAGAGATGAGGCGGTGATGGTGAACATAGGGACGATAGAATGTAGTTTACTCTTATGTTTTTTTTATATAACTATTAGAAGTTTAGTAATTTGACGGTTTAACCCCTTAACAATTATTGATGGATATTTGTATTCGGTACAATTCGGGTAAGTTAATGAGTAAGTTTTTAAAACTCGGGTCTTATAATTCTTCCCCCTCTAAAAGAGATTTTGTTGTCCCCGAAATCAAACATAGATAGGAAACTTAAAGTGATTAAAGAATTTAAGATACTTCTGCCGCATATGTTCTTCAGTTTCCCACTTCGACTCACGTTCTGATTGATTCTTCCAAAGAACTTTTACGAAAGGAATCACTTTCTTCCGTGTATGTCTCTCATTGCTATTAAGAATTGCCTCAGGCTCCTCGCAATAAGACATGTCAGGTTCTATGTGCCCCAAGGGATATTCAATGACGTGCAGAGGATGATAGTTGTACCCTCGAAATGAAGAGGCATGGAACACATTATGTACATGGGACAATTATGGCGGTAGAGCTAACTTGTACGCCACAACTCCAACCCTTTCTAGAATTTCAAAAGAACCAATATATCTCGGGTTGAGCTTTCCTTTGACACCGAAACGTCCAATACCACGAGTCGAGGAAACCTTCAAGAAGATTTTATCACCTGATTGACGAGTCGCTGACCCTTCTAACTAACTCTTTCAGGAGATTCGCCAGAAAAATCAATTACAGCATACCTCTTTCAATGACCATAGCTGAAAATACAAAGTCAAACCCCATTGACAAGGCTTCGGTGAGCTGCTACAACTATCAACACAAAGGTCACTTTGCTAGTGAATGCAGGTCGAAGAAAATTGCGACGCCATCTTCCAACCTCACATCCTCCTTTAGGCCTCAAAAGGACAAGTACCTGAAACTGAAGGAGAAGTACAAGAAGATGAAGAATCTTCAGCGTAAAGGCAAAGGTCTTGTCCCTGAAGAGCATGACTGGCTGATTCTTCTGAAGAATCATCCTTTAACGAGGAAGACATGACCTACCGATGTCTAATGGCCAAGGATGTCAAAGATGAACCATCATAGACATCATTCTCCAGTGATCCTTTGTCATTAACCTTTACTCACGTATGTAACCTGAATGAATCTTCTTCTTCTGATAGCCTATCTATACTAGATACGCTGACGGTTGACCTTTACAATGCCCTGAATTGCAAATCCAAAGCTGAAAAGATTAATATTAATCTTCAAGAACAATTAGAGAAATGTCAGTCAAAGATTAAAGAGCTGACCAAGATTGAGGAAAATCTTAAGGATCAGGTCATTGTAAACCAGGCCATTAGCATCAAACACGAGCAGGCTATCGCTGAGCGTGAGCAAGCAATTGCTGAACTCAAGGCTGAGAAGGCTACCATTGAAGGATGGTGCAAAGCCTCTATCAAGGCCTTTGAGATCATCAACGCTCAGATTGCTACCAAGATAAAGAGTGGTCTAGGATTCTCCTATGATCAGAAAGAAAGTGTCACTGACAAGTCTATGCTGAAGTTTGGTACTTTTGTCTCTTCCATACCTAACACCTCTTCCTCTCAGTACTTTTCCACTAAGACTCCTCTTGAAAGGAACTCCCTTGAGTTCAGGACACAAAGACTAAGGTAAAGCCATTGTCATCACTCATCTTCCCAAGAAGACCAATAAGTCAAATAGACCTAGATCTATTCTTTCAGCTTGTAAACTTATTCCTCATGGACCAAGGTCTCTGAACCCTCTCAAAGATCTAAGCCAAAGTTGAAAGTGAATATTTCACCCGAGGTATCCAAACCCTCAGTCGTTCCCCCTCGAACAAATGAGAAAGGAATCCTTGGAGCTTGTCTCTCTTCTATTTTCTCTGACACTTCTAGCCATAAAGCTTCTTTCTAGCTTCCGAAAAGTGTCATCACTGTGGTGAAACTTCACATATTGCCAGTAAGTGTCCTTCTGCTACCAAATCTGGTCTGCCAGCTAAGGTAAAGAAAGTAGTTAAGGCTGAAAAACTAGCCAAGGCAAAATCAGCCACCAAAGTTGTGAAAACGACTTAGATAAAGAACCACACCCACCTTTGTATCCTTTTTCCCGTTCCTACCACCCACTGTTACATTTTTCGATTTGAATTTTGATTTTCTTATGCATCACCAATTATTCTCTCAGGAATTCTATCAGAAATTGGTGGTGACGATGGTTTCGTGTTCTCTTCCAAGCCCCATGACCCTCTCATTTAAAACACACACACACACACACACACACATATATATATATATATATATATATATGTGTGTGTGTGTGTGTGTGTGTGTGTATTATAACATGTTACGAATTTAATCATTTGAAAACTCCAAAATTTATAAGATCCATAAGAACTTCTACCTTAAGGCTTTGGTTCACAAGGATTTTTTATATCTAAGTATAGTATTTAATGTATTGATTAACATATATTTGTTTCACAATGTTTTTGTTTAATATGTATTCGGTTCACAATGTGAAACTTTTTCACGTGTATTTTTTGTTTCACAAACGCGCCAAAAAGGTTCACATTGTGAATGAGTACATGTGAAACAAACACATTGTGAAACAATTATATGTTAATCAATATACTAAATCCTAATCCTTGCTGAAAAAAATATAAGTGTTTCATTTCTTTTTTCGTATTACTATATGTGTACTTAATTACATTAAAATCAAGTTAAGTTATACGTTGAAACTAGAGTTAAATGCAAATTTGGTTCTTATGATTTACATTAAGTTAATGAGTAAGATCCTTAATAAGAATTTTTAAGAAAAGACATTCCTATGTTTTCATTTTTATAACATATATAGTGTTGTTAGTGAGGGGTAGTTTCTTCCATTAACCATTCCCCTCCGTTTACTTCCATTCTTATAAATGATTTGGTTCATTCATCTATTTTCATTTTTATAACAAGATCTGGTCTCTCCTTATAATTTCATTAATATAACGGATTTGATCCCTCCTTGGCTCCCTTCGATTTCATTTTTATAACAGATTTGGTCATCCCTTTTGATCAATAAAAACTTGGTGGAACAAACATATATCTTCTAAATTTAACCTAACCAAATTATTATGTCATCATGCTAGAAGTATAAGTTTGTTGAAGCAAAAATACAACCGAAAAGCAAAAAGTAAACGATTTTACGGAAGCAATGTTTTTGAAAATGTAAACTCTTTCCAGGGAAAATCGATGCTTCATGGTCGTTTATTTTTTGTTTTTTGGTTGTATTATTGCTTCAATGGTCATTTTCAACACATTGATAGATTAATTTAGTTGGCTTGTATACCTAATTGATGCGGATTCATTTAGGTATTTTGCTCTAGGCATGGTGATTTGCCCGACCTGACGAGGAATATGATTCACCCGCCACGATCGGAGCCAGGGATTCCTCATA